TTTCTTCTTCCAACTCCTCTGCAGAAATGTACAGTTTCAGAAATATGCCAATGCAGTCCTTGAGGAGCATATTTGTGTGTTTGTTCTTATTATCCTTCCTAAGGATCTCATCTGCAGCTTCACTAGCCACAATCACTCCGAGTCGATCTATTAGAGATGGCGAAACTCTGGTTTCAGCAGGTGGAGGCTTTGAACTGGGATTTTTCAGCCCTGGTAACTCGAAGGGCCGGTACTTGGGGATATGGTACACAGTTTCTGCTGATACAGTTGTGTGGGTAGCCAACAGAGAAACACCACTTGGTGATTCGTCCGGATTTTTGAAGCTCACCGAGCAAGGAGTACTAGTCCTCCTTAATAGCTCAGACAACATTGTATGGTCATCGAATTCATCAAGAACCGTGGGGAATCCAGTATCACAACTCTTGGATACTGGAAATCTTATTGTGAAAGACGGAAATGAAACTAACTCGGATAGCTTCTCGTGGCAGAGTTTTGATTACCCTTGTGACACATTCCTACCGGAAATGAAGCTTGGGTGGGACTTAGCTAATGGTTTAGAGAGGTATGCCTCGTCTTGGAAGAGCACAGAAAATCCTGCTCCAGGAGATTTTTCTCTACGGTTAAGTCATTGGGGCTTACCACAACTTGTTACTATGAAAGGAGCTAAGATACAGGCTAGAGGAGGGTCATGGAATGGTGTTCATCTTACAGGATATGGAATTAGTGGAAGAAAATCCAATCCAATATCTGGGCTTGAATTTCGGTTGAACAAGGATGAGGTCTACTTTGAGTACAGGCTCCTAAACAGGTCGGAGTTCACGAGATACGTATTGAACCCGTTAGGCATCGCACAACGGTTCACATGGGTGCGCCAAACACAGAGTTGGGAACTTTCCTCTACATTCCAAGCAGATCGGTGTTCAAACTATGCCTTGTGTGGTGCATATACTACTTGCAATATCAACAACGCTCTAATATGTGCATGCTTGAAGGGATTTACACCAAAATCTCCAAAAGATTGGGACTCGGGATACTGGTCCGACGGGTGCGTTCGAAAGACTCCGTTGGCCTGCAGCCATGGAGATGGCTTCCTAAAGTATAACGGGATTAAATTGCCAGACACATCTACCTCATGGTTTAATAAAAGCATGAGCCTCAAGGAATGCAAGTGGTTATGTTTGGAAAACTGCTCATGTACGGCGTATGCAAATCTTGATATCAGGGAGGGAGGAAGTGGCTGCTTGCTTTGGTTTGGCAACCTCATTGACATAAGAGAATTCGCTATAAGTGACGTTCAGGACTTCTATATACGGATGGCAGCTTCAGAACTAGGTAGCTCCTAGACTTTATTTTTGTTTCTAATGGTGCATAGAAAAATTACCATATATTTTGAGATTAAAATGGAATGGGGTTTTGTCCACATTGTATGTTTTTTTTTTTTTTTCATTTTTCCTCCCCGAGGGGGTCCGATAAGCCAGCAGTTAGAATCAGCATGGTGAAAATCACTGAGGTTTTCCTAGATTTAGGTCCATAATAAAAGGCAGAACTACATGTTCATCCACCTGAAAATTAAGTTAGAAGCAGCATGGCTAAATGCAACTGGTCATAACATCAAAGTTACTGCAACATGAGAGATTGCTTACCAAATCACACAAAATTTTTTGTTTTGATTGGGATATTTCAGATCACTTTGTGAAAGAGAGCAAGTTCAACGAGAAAAAACTACCAATTCTCATCAGCTCCGCGGTTTTACTCCTCGGAATGATATAGTTGGATTGATATTGTACATACGGAAGAAGAAACTCAGAAATGAAGGTAAAAATCTCAGACAAGGACTCCGACTCTTATTTTATTTCTGTATATATGATTATAAGATTTAGGAACAAAAATATATATCAGAGTATCATAACATTGACAACGAAAAATGCAGTAGATAAGGTGTTAGTATTTTATTTCAAAAGTTTAACTAACTGCTCACATCATTTTTACCTGTACTAAAGAGATCTCCTATTGTTTCAGGAGTCAGAAGAAAGGATTTCAGAAAAGAGTACCTTGGAGAAGACAGGGAAGGCATGGAGTTACCGCTATTTGACTTGACCACCATAGTCAAAGCGACTGATAACTTTTCAAGCAACAAGTTGGGAGAAGGTGGTTTTGGACCTGTGTACAAGGTAATATAAATTCATGCAACTAAGATGAGCTACTTTGGTATACAGAATTTAAGACTTTTCGAAATGGTAATCCATAGGGCACATTGATGGGAGGGAAAGAAGTTGCAGTTAAGAGACTTTCAAAGGATTCTGGACAGGGAATGAGGGAGTTCAAAAATGAAGTAATACTGATAGCCAGACTTCAGCATCGGAATCTCGTAAAGCTTATGGGCTATTGCACTCAAGAAGATGAAAAGATTCTAATATATGAATTCATGCCAAATGGAAGCTTAGACTTCTTTATTTTTGGTATTGGTTCCCTCCGAAACTAACCATGTGGCTTTTAGATCATACCATTCACCTTCAAACTTATTTTACCAGGATTCAGTGTGACACTGATTAACATGCTCAAAGTTTCTTCAGATGAAGAGGGAGGAAAGTTGCTCAACTGGCCTAAGTGCTTTCACATTATTGGTGGAATTGCTCGGGGACTTGTTTATCTTCACCATGACTCTAGATTAAGGATTATCCACCGAGATCTGAAAGCTAGCAATATTCTGCTTGATAATAATATGAACCCGAAGATTGCAGACTTTGGCTTGGCTAAAATATTCGACACAGATCAAAGTCAGGCCAATACAAAGAGAGTGGTAGGAACCTAGTAAGTATGATCAAACTTGTTATATGATTTATGTTTTAAATTGTGTTATTCTCCTGAAATTCTTTCTCACTGGTCATTGCAATTTGATCTGGCAGTGGTTATATGTCTCCCGAATATGCTATAGATGGAATTTGCTCGATGAAATCTGATGTCTTTAGCTTTGGAGTTATACTGCTAGAGATGTTGAGTAGGAAGAAGAACAGGGGATTTTGTCATCCGGATCATCACCTTAACCTTCTTGGACATGTAAGTATAACAAATGTGGTGCTAATATTTTACTTTAAAAAAAACACCTTGTCTAATGAAATGCCGTATAACAGTATAGAAGGTGAGCAGAATGCTCCAATCACATGCAATTCTACTAACACATCATATATGTTTCAACTTTTTTTAAAGGCATGGATGCTATGGATGCAAGATAAACAACTGGAACTGATCGATAAGACTCTTTCTGATTCGTGCAATATATGTGAAGTGGTAAGGTGTCTTCACGTGGGGCTGTTATGTGTGCAAAGAGTACCTGAGGATAGACCAAGCATGTCATCTGTGGTTCTGATGTTGAGCAGTGATGTTGCCTTGCCTTCTCCAAAGCAGCCTGGTTTTTACACTGAACGAAGTGTCACTGAATCACCATCAAGCATGCGTCCGTGTTCAGAGAATAATGTCAGCACTACATTGATAGAACCTCGGTAGATCATATCATTCTTGCGCTTGTTGATGCTTCTGGTCTGGCCGTCATCCTAAAATGTGTTTGGTAGTTTGACTTGAACTTGTGTGAGAAATTTTAAGGTGATTTACGTATTTCATTTTGTTAATCGTCGGCATTAACACCAAATTTCTAAATTTTCAACAAAACCGAGGCTCGGGTGAGATAGGAAGCTGGTGCGGAGCTTTGAAACTATGTGTCCTATTGTTCTAACTTCTTTCCGGTTGCGTCTGTACCATTTCATTCAAATGTTGCCACAATGCCATCAAAGCAAAAAATCTTAAGGGTAATTGTCCAATAAGATTGAGAACCAATGTCCGAAGAATATGTAACTTTCTAATGTGTCATCTTCCCAAATTAAAACTCTACTTGAGTCTCACTTACTCCTTGAAACTCAAAATTTATCACTTTACTTTCTGAAACTCATGTCTCTTTTTGCCCTTTATCTTCAAAGTCTGTTTACATTGATTCCATGGTGGCTGGATCTTGATTTCATTCTCCAGCATTGATTCTTTGTTCTACTACCCTGATATAAAACCTAGATATTTTGAGGTGCATGGAGTATCTACCCCTAAAAGGCCAAGTAAACCCTAATGCTAATAGCGAGTGATTAATTACTTGCCGAGGACGTGAACACTCCACGTTATAAAAGAACACACTCTCTCCCTCTCTCGTTCCTCCCCCTTTTGTTGTCCTTTTTATTTTGTAAGCTCTCACTCTCTCTTTGTTGCTTAAAAAATTGGTGTAAAATGGTCTATTTTCGAATCTCGAAGAGCCGAAATGATGAATCTGATTGATGTGTAGACAATGTTCTTGATATAAATTTTGATCAATTCACTAACAGAATTGACGCTTTGCGTGGGCGCTCTATTATTGCCTCCTATTCTTGAGGGGGTGATCGGGGATGGGTGGTGATACCCACAAAAAATAAAGAATTGTTCGCTCTTTTGGGGGCCTTTCGTACTCAAGGGAGAATTATTGAGCGCACTAAAATCTAGTGGATGGGTTCAATATTCATGAAAAGCTGGGTTTAAAATGATCAATTGGTTTTTATTTATGACGTTTATTTGTGATTCAATAATTGGTTTTGATTTTGATCACTTGAACAATTGATTTTGATGATTTTAGTCGATTGCCTTATTATAAATTTGACGTTTGATTGTCTTAACTTTGAAATAAATAAAAAGTGCTGCCGGGACTTGAATGAGTTACTTGATGCGTAGGAAAGAGAAGTTCCTATTTGTACATAGGAAGAGGACCTTCCTCTTAGTCATTTCATTTGGGCATCTTATCCCCTTCATGTTCACCGAGTAAACCTCGCATTGCATTTCTGCTAGGCATCTTTTTGTCTCCGCCGATAGCAGAAATGCAATGCAAGGTATTTGCAAGAGGCCTTCAAGGTTCCTGTTGTTATTCAACTCACAGATGATGAGAAATTTATTGCTTGTGGTTTTGACATGACTAGAACCTTCATCCTAGCTAATAAGACAGAGAAATGTGTATGCTTATGTTCAGGCATTCTACTGCACTATAGAATAACGTACGAAAAGAAGGACGAACAAAGGACAAGGGGGAAAACGTAAAGAAACTAACCAATATCGCTCGTGTGCTGTAAACCTCCGTTTAACCACTTCACTCTAAAAGATAATAAAAGCACAGATGTAACCAAAACATGGATCATAATGAGAGTGCTACAACAAAATCCAGCTGATTATGATCGAACCAATCACGATTCTTTTTCAACTTGAGTATCACAGCATATGGCAGCGGGCCAATCTGTATCCTTAAGGAAAAATCAGAGACTTATTAAACTTCTTGCTTCTACTCGTGGTTCATGCCAATGCGGGAAAACCATAAACCTGTGCTTCGGTGACTAAACTCCTGCAGATTCTGGGTTCTCCAACATTGTTGCGACTATCTTACAAATGGGCATGGTTTCGTTCTTACTTAGAAGCTTCATGGAAGGATGAACCTCAATGTCAGGAATGAACACCCTATCTCCTATATCTAGATTGCTTACATCCACCTCAATCTTAGAAGGAATGTTCTCAGCTGGGCCAAGGTACCTTAGACTTGTTCTAATTTTGTTCAGGTGGCCACCTGTATTGGCACAAAGAAGTGGTAATCAGTGCACATTCGCACGCCATCATACTTGAACCAAAACAAATCAGTCTTTAAAGAACGCACGAAACCATGTCAAATAGGGACTCCAATAACGACAAGCTTTTAAACGTTTTACACGCATTGTTATCGATATCAGAATGTGAGCAGCCAACCCGATACCCATTGGAAATGAGTGGAGCGGCCCAAGATCATTTATAATCTGAACAACAACAACAACAACAACAACAGAAGCAGCTGCACTTTTGTTTTCAGTACGTAACCACTATAGATGCACAAGGGATGATAGAACAGCCCTTAAATCAAGCAATGTATCACATCGATGACCAAATTTTCTACCTATTCCTAAACAATCCAACTTCAATGTTACGGGTTTGGGATCAAATACGCAACTTCTGTTTACCAATGATACGAAACAAACCAAACAAAGTGCAACCAAAGAAAATTAAATTACCTTTTTTGAGACCAGGACAAACATCTTCACCTTTGAAAACAACAGGGACATCAACTTTCAGCTCGGAGCCCTCATCCGCCCAAACAAACACCAAATTCAGAATCTTCCCACTCTCCTGGTCCCTGTGAATCTACACAATCAAACACCCCAAAATTCAAATCACACATAAATTTTCAATCTTTATATATATATAAATTATAAATGGATGAAGAAAATGAGTAATTGCCTTGATGGGTATGACATTTCCGGATTCGAGCAAATCCGACGACCCGGACCCGGCTCGGATCTGGAGGGGGAACCGAGTGGAGCAGAAAAACGGGAGTTCTACCGACTTGAGAATGGCCTGAATCTGCTTCCTCTCGGTGGTCAGCAGGTGCTTCCTGGCGACCGGTCGAGCGGCGGCACTGCTAGGGTTCAGCTGCTGGGAGAACACGACGGCTGGAATTCGACCTTGAGCTCTGTCTTTGACGGAGACTCTGTTGCCAGTGACCTCCCGAGGGATGGCTTGGATCGTGTGGTAGAGAGCCGCGAAGGATGAGAATGGAGGTTGCGGTCCGAAGCTAGAATTTTGCAGAACCGCGCGGAGGTTGCCGCCGGCTGCGCGCCACCGATTGGCCATTTTTTCTTTGGGGTGGGGTGGGTGGGCGGGGGGGGGGGGGTAGGGGCGTTGGTCTCTGCTCAGAGGGTTTTGGGGTTTAAGGGTCTGGGCCTTTGGGTAGAGGTGACCTTTGCCTTATGAGAGTGGTGGGCTCGTTGAATAATGGACTTATTGAGTCTCCAATTTTGGGGGATGTGGGCTTTAATTACCGTCTCTTGAATAGAGGAGAAGTTTTTTGTCTGATTGTCACATTATTACGTGGTGTTGTCAATTTACATGCATACGAGACTAAGATTTGTACTTTCACAAATAGATAAAGCTCGTTATATTAACCATAGCTCCATAAATTGCCAACCACAACCTCTTCTTAAATATTGTTTCCCTAACAATCCCTTTACCATCTTCTCCCCCAAGTTGCTACTATGAGAGGACTCGAATTTGAGATCTCTTCAGACCCGTATGATACAGTGGGGATAAGTGCTACAAGGGAAGGTGATATGAAAACTTGCAAATTCACTAAATGAATTGAGGAAAAAAAAAACCGATAATTATAAAGAACACATCAATATTTAAAATACATTGCTAAATTTAACGGTTGAACGTACACTCGAAATTTTAAGAATACAAACAAAATTTGACAAGTGAATATGAACTAATAGAAAGGTGTACACTATACATTGATGTACAATAAATAAAAATTTGGCATTAGGTTTGTGAATGGTGGCATAAGAATATTTTACACACACACACATATATATATATAATCATATGTTTTCATATGCTAAAGTAAAAATTAATTGGCATTCCATTGTCAAATCCATGCACGTGATAAACCTCTCACCCTCCGGCTCTGGGCCACCGTCCCAAAGGCCACAGGCACAATAAAGTCAACAGCAGAAAGGGTGCAACAAAAGAGATAGAGAAGAAGAAGCAATCAAATTGTAAATTGTGTAAAATTTGGAAAAGCGTGAGACAAATTGGTTGATATGGATTCAGGGGCTGGTCTGCCATTCCCACAAACTCACCCTCTCCTACTATTCTACACAATTCAGGAGCGTCAACTTGACAATAACTTACACGAAATATGTTCATTGTCAGATAATATTTTTTTGTTTAATGATTTGTTGTTATATGTACATTTTTTTCTAAACAATGTGTTATTAGATTACGATGCTTAGTAATGGTGGATTCCATTTAAGTTTGCTCTTGTGAACTTGTGTGTTTGTGTGTATATTATATATGTATAATACTTGAGATATTAATTATTTAGACCAAATTTTATAAATCATATACCGTGACGTTAATGATTGAATTATTATTAAAATGTTGATTCACATGATTATATATATATATATACACACACATACGTATCATCCACAAGCAGGTACCTTTTTATCGTTTTTATTTTTGGATTTTTCTATGTCCACACGTTCGTACCTTTTTCTCTTTTCATTTTTGGAATTTTCTTGTGTTTTCAAATCATGTTAGGTCAAGTCAATTTTTCATATTCCACATTACAAATCAGGGCATGGGACCAACAAAAGGTTTTGTGAGGTGATGATGTATGCTTTAGCCGCATTCAAGGATTAATGGATTTTTTTTTTAACAAATAATATGATGATTACACTAAATTATTAAAATTGCACGAAAAATAGAATTTAAACTTGGACGTAAAGTGTAAAATACAAAGCTCTAATCAAATTTCAGTGAGATTCCTTTGTTTCTCGTAGATTATTTTGCTAGGAACCATCTTCAAATTATAAATACTACTGAGTTGATTATGTGTTTTTATTTTAACGATAAATGTCAAAGAAAATTATTGTCTACGAGTATGGATGTTTTATTTTTAATGTTAAAAGAAAACTACAAAGAACTCAAAAAACAAATTATAAAAACTTTTAAGGTTTTATATCTTCTGGCTTTCTAATAGTAAGGATTATCATACAAAAAAGGTAAAGCCACATGAGAAGGTAAATTAATATTGTAGGTGTAAGTCATATTGGTAATAGTTGGTAGTTATAACTTATATGTCACGTGTAAGTCTTTCCGCTTTAAGTTGTAGGTGTGCCCTTACATTGAAGGTGAGAGTAACCAATGTCTTCCGAAACTTTTTAGCAAACTAACATGTGAAAAACAATGGCTTCTACGTACATGAAAGGGAACATATATAATAGTTGCAGAAGCACTTCACTGAGCTTATACTTCTAGTGAAAAAGGTACGTCTTAAACAAGGCCGGATATAAGACGTGTTCAAGTAAAAAGAGATTCACAGGTCCTCATCAATTTCATCGCTCGTTTTTTATAATTTCCTCGTGCTCTAATTCTCCTTTTCAAAAATAAAAAATAAAATAAACATTGATTGGGAGAAAAATAAATTTTGGATCCGCAGATGATGTCATGCACCGATCATGACTACTAACGAAGCGTACACACCACAAATCAGAAAAATACAAAGGAAATGTTTACACCAATCTTTATTTAATCTATAAGTAAATTAATAGTTATGCTTTCATTCCACACGAAAAGGATTTGAACGAATTACAAAATAATTTGATTTGATGTTTTAGAAATTTGAAAATATAAAAAGAGTAAGAAGTAAAATACAAAAATAGAGAGAAGATCCGATTATTTTTCAAAAATCATCGGTTATTTTATGAAGGGGGATAATATTGACAGAGAGAGGTCGGATGAAGGGTTTGTGAGCAACAAATAGATGACGTAGAGCGTGAGTGGTCGTTGGGCTTCACTCGTGGACAACCTTGCTCTAATACTATGATGAAATTGGGGTTCACCATAAAACCAATTAGTAATATGGGAAATAGTATAAGATCATATAAATATATAGTAAACTTTATCCCTCACCCATGTGGGACAACTCTCAACACATATATTGTGTAAATTTATGCCACACTCATGAGGCGGTCCCCAATCCCTCAGGCTTCAGAGGTACGTACGTGCTGGTGGCGCCACCACAAAACTCCTCTTCTTCCCTCCCCCCCTTTTGTCTCCCTCTTGGTGGCCCCCACTCATTAAACTTCTCCACCACCTCAGCATTTGAGGCCACGTTTGCCTATCTTCCGACGTCCTTTGTAGTTCATGCCATGTTGATGAAAATTCTTTACTAATTCTAAATTTCATCTTTAAAACCATTTCATGAACAAATACACGAATTGTAACAATTGTTTGACTATTTACGTATGAATTCCTCGTTGCGCGTTTAAAGTTATAGTTGGTATTAGCAGGGATTCAAGATTCGAACCTTTAGATCTCAGTATTAATGTACAAAATTTTTAGATAGAAATATAACACGAAGCGTGTATAAAAAAATCTTAGTTTATTCATTGAGACATTTTGTCGAACTTGTTGTCGTCAGCCAAATCATGTCGTCAATATGTCAACAGATATAGACATATGCCGAAGCAATCCAATTAGTGATATCGAGAGAACTTATTGAATGCTGCCGACGCAACTTGTTGAGACTAGTATACATTACATCGGACACTTAGTAAGCATAAAAAAGACTTGTATCAAACATTCGAAGAGTCATCGAAAGACCTTCACATGTATATATTTCCTAAGCTCTAGATGATCCTGGAACAACCTGGGTCCTGAGATCATCTTAATCCCTTGTACATTCGCCCATGTTTGGTATATATCACCCACAATTCACCAACTTACAAATAGCTACTTCAGAAAGCACACGTGGCGCCATGTTTTGACGCAAATAAGGACATCAGGTGATAGGGGTCGTTCACATGCTCACTCGTATGGACTCGCAAACACTCGAAGTTTTCTTTACTCCTAATAACCTCGAAATACAAAAACATAATTACTACTAATTTAATTAATTAAAACAATTAATTGACCGGGTAGAGTAGTCAAAGGGAGCGACGTGATTAGCCGGTAGCAGTGACAGTCCCTGACGGCTGAGGACGGAACCACCCATCAGTCCAGCTTAAGGTTTGGTCACGTCGAAATGAATGAAAAAGGCAATCAAAACGACTGTGCATTGCGCCTCACTCTGACCCTACGGAGGAGGACTGATGGCTGACCGGCAATAGCAGGTCATCCCCTTCCATCCCACCCATTTGTCTCTCTCGAAACTCGTGCGCGCTGCTGACGCATGGAAGGTTGGAGAAGGAAGGGGTATTAATGGGCGAATCGAGAAACGATGTGCTGGGGGAGTGTGGGTTCACCATTTTGCCCTCGGTGTCCTGCTGAGAGAGACAACTGTCAATTTACGAAGTTGTTGCAGCAGGAAAGGAATTCTCACTTATTCCTTTCTCCTGATTCACTAAATTCATATATTTGGATCATTAAAATTTGATCAAATAGATACAAAAAATTACTCACTTAAAACTTATAATAACTTTAATCGTTTGATCAAATTATAAGAATCTGAATCTCAAAACCTAATGAATTAAGAGAAAGAAATCCGAAGAGGATCATTTCCGTTGCAGCGGGGTGTGGAGTAGGAGTGGAGGAGACAGAGAAGAGTGGTAATTTGGTAAATTACCTTGGCTACGGTTAAGGCGCATGGTATCCGGACGTGGTGGTACTGTAAAATGGATAACTATGCTCCGAACGCGAGCAAGCTTCGGTGTGTAATTACTTATATGCCCACCGCCATTTCTTTTCAAAATTTTACGCATGTGAGTTGTGGCCCATTAACGCACAACTAATGCAGTCCGAATATAAACTTGTGCTCGGCAAAGTTTATTTGACAAAAAAAAAGAGAAAAAAAAGAATATGAAATGTAAAATAAATATTTGGTTATTAGCCCCTCCATATGCGCGCAAATAGAGTTTTCACCATGCTATTGTGAATGAACTGAGTTAAACAATAATGGTCAGTTTAGTGGGTTGGATGAGATTGATATGTAACTCATTTTATTGTGGATTCATAACTCATTATGTACAATTTTACCCCTATCCATCTCATATTTTGATACAACCAACAAAAAATTGAACTCAAGTCTATTAATTGGTCGCAACCTATCCCAACCCGCAAACCAAATAGACTCTACAAGTCTAATTAAACTTGCGTTCACTATTCTTTTAGGAAACATAATATAATTGACAAAGAAAAC